CTGATGGGCCCCGATCACATCTCGGCAATTATGGTGAGTCTACCGTCTCGTTGAGCTCGCTGTTATTTCCAGTAGTCTCTTTTAGACCGTCTCTGTATGTCAACGGTTGAAGGCGTTTTGGTATGGCATCCGGTGGGGCATAGGCCACTCGGTTGGTCTAGCTTTGGTAGCAGCTCTCTTGTGGGCAATCGAGGCTGAGTCTTCTGATGCCAGTACACACCATTTCGCGTAGGTCTTCTTATTTGTATTTTCCGATCCCTGTATCTGGTATGTCTCCTTAGACACGTAGCGTCTTATGTGAGCGGTGCGTTCATGCTGGCATTTGGACTGTAATGATTCAGTCATCTCCCCTCCATAGTTGAGCCTACCTCTTTCCCGCAGGTATTTTTTGGTTAAAGCGAAGACCGAGCTCGAGAAAATCTCACAAGTTGTCGATTCGCGCACCTCTCGACGATGGCACTTGGCTGACCGTGATGTGAATGACAACGTCGCTTTCGAGCTACTAGACGATGATTTGGTCCACGAGTTAGAAGTGGGGGACGATAAGGAGGCCGATGTGGAACTTGAGGATAAGGCAGCGCAGATCGTTGGTGAGTTTATTGTTGTGATTTGACGTTACTTGGTCGTTGTTTTCAGGTGCTTCAGCTGACACCACTCAACCAAACAGCCCATCGGATCACTCCATTGGTTTACCTCACGTTGTAGAGCCTGCGATAGAGCCCCGAATTAAATGTTGTATGTTCGCTACTGGCGGCCGGACTCGAGCGAGATTGGTAGGTTTGGATCTTCCATGTGGCGATTAGCGATTCTTGTTCAGGTGCAGGCGTTAGTATCGTTCTGTGCTGGCATACTGGGAGGGATCGCCGGCCCTGGAGGAATGCTGGCGATCGTCCCTGCAACGTGGGTCTGCGTGGTTTGTGCTCAGCTCGTTCCAGAGTGTTTCTATTGTAGGTATTATGACACTGCAGCTGAGGCTTTCGCGTACATCGGTACGTTCTTCATAGCGTCAACGTTGATGATGGGGATTGTCGCGGCTATTTACGGTGAAGGTGAGATGCCCGATTGGCCTGCGGTAGAATTGATAGTCCTGTTCTCAGCAACTTATCGAGTTGCATCCCGAAGCATAGGAGGAGGAGGAAGTTTACGTGTCGTCAAGATTGTGTAAGTCTCCGTAGCGACTTGCTGTTCACTCTTATTCGGTAGTGGCGATTCAGTTACTACGCGAGTTGTGGTGCGAGCATAGCCGTTGGGATCATCTGGATAGTGCTGAACGCCACAGGAACCCTGCAAAAGTTGTTCGACTGAAGACTCTTTCCAGCGCGTCATTGACAACGAGAGCGAGTCATGCTTGGAGGAAGCCAAGACGGGTCGGAGTTATACGAGGTGTAGCGAATCTTGGGCATTTTTACATTCATTTGTCAACGGTCAGTCTGCTGTTGGTGTATGGTGGGCATTGACGTTCTCGTACAACTCTTAGGTTGTTAGTTTACCGAATGCCCATTGCTCAACCCCACAAGTCAAGTCATGCTGTCAAGCAAGGCCTCGGGTATCGGCAATTCTGTCTAGGGTATGATGTCCTTCCTTCCTTCGCTGAGTGTGACGACTACGACGTTGATGTTGACACTAGGCCGAAGAGGAATAGTTACAAGAAGGGTCGTGTGCCGATGCGGATGTTCGTGGCTGATGAACCCGGCTTGCGACTGAGTGCGACGAAGTTGGAAATGGTCGAGAAGGAAACTGATGCTAATTTGAAGTTACCGAGATTCGTGGCTGCTGAGGTTGTTGCAGAGAGACCCCTTCCAACGAGGCGCAAGAAGTGGGCTAAGTTACTCGATGGTTGGGAGGTTGTCCACGAGGATGATATGTGGTTTATCGTTGAGGAGAAGCAAGGGTGTTCATCTCGACGGTCGTACGCTGATGTGGCTGTGAATGAGATGGGAATCGATGCCTATGGTGAACCTCATTTGGTGCCGACTGTTTTGGGTGAGAACACCACTGAGATGTCTGTGAAGCCGATGAGGAAGGATGTGGGAGTTGGTTGTGATGATGAGCAGCAGTGTGGTGATGTGAAAGGCAATTGGGAGATGAAGTTTAGTAGAAGTTTGAGAGGGAAAGTTGAAGAACGTCGGCGACACCATCTACGGGCCGAGCGTAAGAAAGAGAGGAAAATGAAGAGAAAGGCTGGTAAGGCCTAAGCTCGAAACTACGAGCGATTCTGATTAGTACTATAATTGATGTCAACTGGTGTTTTCACTACGTGTGAAATTACCTTTATTGGTCGTGCTTACCATTATTTATCATCGACGAGTTGTTGCCTTTCCTAATCCCCCTTTTTTCAAATACCACTATATCTGCATGTGATTGCATCGTCTACAAGGCGCTGCTGACAGGAAGTGTTGGACGGTAACGGGTTGAGTTTGTCTAGTCCTCTCCGGATGGTACTCTTGAGAATCGTTTTAATGTGGGATATGTAATTATTCTTTCCAAGGGGGGTTGGTGAGTTCCTCTGAGGAAGAGAATGTACACAGCATATTCGAGTGGATACGAAGTAATATCATGGGGCCTTATGAGGAGGTCGAGCCACATGTTGTGCCCCGCTCGAGGGGGATAGCGCAAATGGATTTGTTAGATTCTGAAATACGTATAGAAATGGGAGTATATTGGGCGCAAATTCGTCACATTTTGTACTCCAGAACTGTGGTGGAGTTCCGGCTTATACGGTTCACCAGATACAAACCGTTTTGTGGTTGTGTTATGGTTCGAGATGAACTTGCGCTGATGGAAAATTGGACATTCGTTGGAAGCGTAGTTTTATGTTACTTTAGAAATTGTTTCTAGTGGAATCGATGTCTTTCCTCGGAATACCCCTTGGGGAGTTGGTAACTCCGCTGAGTTATTGATACACTGCA